GTCGAAAATTTTCTAAAATACTATTTTTTTTGTGGAAAATATCGGCTGGATGAAAAGGTCAAATTCAAATTAAAAAAAAAAATGTTATTTTGAAAAATATATTTTGTAAACCTTAAGTCATAAAAATATGGCCAATGATATCTTTAAATACAATGGGTAAATATGGTCAATAATATCATAAATTATTTTTTATATTCGGGTATTTCAACTTAATTGATGATTTTTTTTCAAAATGTGATGATCATATAATTAATTTTATCATATATCTAATGTTTGATGTTATTAGCTTAGTTGGGGATACTCATTATATTCAAATAAATAATATATAATTTTTCATATTTGGTATTTCTTTTTTTACAATAATGAGATGTTAAACATAAATAACTATGTTTAATATAATGTCTTAGAAAATATTTTAAGTAAAAAGCCCGTCCGTGCATCGCACGGGATACACACTAGTTTCCTTTGTAATTTATGTGTGGAGATTTGTACCACTAATTCAAAATGTAATAGATCCAAATCCCCATGTCTTGTTTATTGTCATCCATGTTATGTGAATATTTTAGTAATCCTATAATCCTATTTGAATAATAATTCTTAAACAATTATAAATTGCAAACCAGTTCGTACGAGATTAGTGGAGCCAACTTTCTATATACAATAAATAGATTTACCATATTTTTTGATTACTTAAATAATATTAATATAATTTTGTTAATATAGTAGATTTATTTATTGTATATAGAAGGTTGGCTCTACTATAGAGCCAAGTGTCGGCTTCATGCAAAATCGTACAAAATATTTAAGAAAATATAATGTAGTAGGAATTAGTAATAACTAGTGCGTATCCCGTGCGATGCACAGATATATAAATTTGGAGAATATTATGTTTTAACATGCATTAGGATATATGAGAGTTTAATGCATACGAACATTATTCATCATAAAATGTCCGTCACGAAAAAAATCTTATATTATTATAAACCTCTTTGTACACAACATTATGAGTTTTATTATTGGGTAACTCGTTGTGATGAGCACGGGTTGACTCGGGCCGGACGCTGGCTGCACAAAGGGCTACGGAAACTGGGCCTCACTCAATTGGGCTCCTCTCTTGGACTGCAGATGTTGATTGTTGTCGCCGAAAAAATTGCCCCCACCTTTGGACAACTTTTCTAATTTCCAATTATATTATAAATTATATTTTATTCCAAGTTTAACTTTTTCATTCTTATTCTATGTAGATAGTTATTTTACATTCCCAGCTATAGTAATAAAGTATATTTTTAGTTTAAATCATGTAACTTTTTAGTAGTGAGTTGAATAACTTATAGATATGAACATAATTTAATGATTCCCTCTAATTTCTCTCCCTTCTCCCTTTTCATATTCCATATTTCACATTTTTCTCGAAATAAAACAAAAGATTACATACAACAATTATTAGGTTGACCATCAAATAAAACAAAATAAGACTGTAAATAAACGTAAACTTTTCCTTGATAATTTCTATATTTTCATGAAAATAACAATTGCAATGTTTCAGGTTCGACACAAAATTGGTTTGTTTGTTTTTTATTTTTTTTTATGAATAGGCTATCTATCTTAATTTTTGTTCAAAATTAGTTTATTTTTTATTTTTATAATCAAATATATCATGAGTCAGCACTGGACATAAGCTCATAGGATGTGATGATAAATATGCATTTAGATTTTGACATATGCAATATAAATGTAAAAAATACAAAGAATATACTAACGCTAAATTTAGTTTATTGGAAAGGTGCACAACAATTAGAAAAATGTGATTACTTAAATCTTCATGATAAATGCATTGCCAAATCATAAATTTCCGCAAGCAAGGAGTTCGCTCTAATATATCATCTGAGATTTCAATGCCGTATATTTGCATTGTTTCATGTTGACATTCATTTTATAAATTCGGAAAGAGTCATCTGTTGCGCTTAAATTATTAGAAAGAGAATACAATTTTTGTGACCTGTACTTATAGGGAGATCGATGCATATGTGTAATACAATATCACCAACATTACAAAATTGATATTTGGAAAACCTGAAGACATATATGGAAAACAACAATAATATCACAACATATGTGTACGCTCGGGCTTCCTCGCGTTGGGCTTCTCTTCTGGGCTGCTTCAACACTGGGAAGCGAGCTGAGGACGTGAGCACGCTTGCTGGCCTGAACTCGGTTGATCTCCGATTGGGCGCTGGAGTAGAGGCTGGGAACAGCGGCGCCGGTGGCCGTTTTGACGATGTTCAACTCCTCGGAAATCGGGATTCAAAACTCGACATAAATCCCCTCACATAAGGGATTATATGTTTCTTTAAACTATCCTAATAAAATATCCGACATATCAATTTAAATCCTATCGCAACTTTCTAATTTTTCCCAAAAAATTAGCGCGCCGCATTTTTTGCCCGTATAATGTAACGAACTCATTTGGACTGTTGTCCATGAAATATAAAAAAAAAAAAATTACCATTAATGGAAACTAATTAATGATTTCCGAAATTGACCATAGAGTTGACATGCCCTTTTTTAAAAATGATAAATATTATATATATATATATATATAGATGTTAAAAAAAATCCAAACTAAAGAAAGTAGTAGTCAAATGATAAGGGGTTTTTAAATTTTAATTTTCAATTTGAAATTGAGTCTGATTTATATGCAATCCGATTTGTTTAATAAAGATGATCTAAAAGATACTTGTTATAGTATTTTTCTAAATTCGAAATTCTCGATTTTACGATAAACATATTTTTTTGAATAAAAAATAAGAGAATTTTGACCTTTACAATATTATATATCTTTATGTTTAATTAGGTACAAAAAAAGTTCTACGGAATCCGTCTTAATATTTGTTGACAAGTCATTAATAAATCTAAATTAATTGAAATAAAAAACAATCCTTTAAGATTGCATTATTAATCCCCTGAATTTTGATTTATTAATCCTTTATATTAATCCCTTCATATTGCATTATTAATCTGAATTGTTCGATCCCTTGTTTAAGTTGACACGTGAATGAATCCCTTAATATAAGGGATATTTTTTCTTTGAACAATCTAAAAAAAATATCTCGCAAAGAGGAAAATTTTTCTAAATAACAAATTCAGCCGCATTTTTTGATTGTACAATGTAACAAATTCATATAGATTACATCTATCTATTAATATATAATAAGGATTAACATAATTCACTTTTAGAAATATTTTCCCCTTAATTTCATTAATTGCATGCTAAATTAGAATGTTAGGACAATTTGGGATAAGAAATTAATGAGCATCCATAATTTTAGGAATAAACTGATACAATCCGATTTTTATTCACTTTTCAAAATTTGGTTAGATATTGATCTATGTAATAAACTGATACATCCAGAATTTTAGGAATAAACTGATAGAATCTCAATTTGCTAATATGTAGGCAAAATCTATGGAATAATATAATTCCGGCATGGACATGGCCGTGCATCTCCACTGCTTCCTGTTTGACCTCTTACACCTCAAAAGTATTTATCCTTCCACAAGTTAAATATATATCTATATATATATGTATGTATATATATATATATATTATTTATTTTATACTTTAGAATTTTTAGTACATTGTTTAATAAGAAATCTAACATTCTACAAATTTATTAAAAAAATTACTATTTAATCATTTGTATTCTTATAACTACAAATGGTTATTTTACCTTTTTTTTTTCTGATAAATTACATAAAATAATATTTTTATATATATTATTTTACATTATCTATATCTATATATATAATAAGAATGCAAATCAAATATAATAAGCATTTATTGTCATTATGCATTAATTATATCCTAATTATAGTAATTTTACACAATTCCTTAAAACAAACCTTGAATCATTAATTGCAATCAGTTTTAACTTCCCTCGACAACCGAATTTATTGTTTTAAAAAAAATATTCCATTATATTTGATTAAACACTAAATATGATTGTTTGGAATCAATTCTATTTATTATGGAATAAAATATTATAAAGTATCATTTTAAAACAGTATAATTATGGAATCAAAAAATTTAACCACGATCCAATATTTTTAATTCAATCTATATCTCTTTTTAGACTTAGCCAGATAATCATATCTTTAGTATTTATCACAATATTACATATTTACACTATAATTTTAATTTGTGGTGCTAACATAACGAAAATAAAAAAAAAAGTAAGAAGGTGTCTATGCAGTTCGCAATTACCAACTGGAGAGCAATCTTGGTAAATATCTGTCTACGGTTGCCAAGTGCAAAGTAATTTTGCATGGAAAAATGAAGATGTTTTTAATAATGTATGACTTTTTCATGACGAACATTTTACGATTACCTAACAAATACTCTATGTATTATAAATATTGATTAATAATTTAATTATAAAATTTACCAAAATAAATACAGCCCGTACATCGCATGGGGTTACTTACTAGTTTAATTATTGTTGTCTGTGAAAAACCTAAAATAAAAAAAAAATTGCCAATAATAAAAAGTAATTAATGATGAGGGAAGTTGACCATATAGTTGATCTAACATTTTAAAAAATGCTAATTCTTATTATATATATATAGATTTATCATAAAGCCAAATTGTGTGTTACCCAAACACAAAATATATACTATACTACTCCTTTTTTAAAAAAAAAATGGAAAATATTATTTAACTTTCTTTTTCATTATCCGGTTGTGGTAAATCCCTTGCCTGTCCACCTCAGCCCTAAATTGAACGGTTGGATGAAGGCCGTAACCCCTTGAGAAACATCAGCCGTCCTCGATTCCGGACCCCACCCCAACAATTAGCTATCATAGTGAAAACAAGTTCAAATCCGCTGACGCGTCAACTGGGAGCGTGCAGTATATATAAAACACCGCCCATGGTACAACCCCATAAAGCGTAACAAACACACTGAGAGCTGAAGGGTGAAAAAAGAGAAGGTTCTGCAACAATGGCGGACGGTGATGTGAGGAAAGGTACCGTGAAGTGGTTCAGTGAACAGAAGGGCTTCGGATTCATAACCCCTGACGATGGCGGCGAGGATCTGTTTGTCCATCAATCGGCGGTCAAATCCGAGGGTTTCCGAAGCCTCGCCGAGGGGGAGGCGGTCGAATTCGTCGTCGAGCAGGGCAACGACGGCCGAGACAAGGCCGCGAACGTGACCGGTCCCGGCGGCGCGGCTGTTCGGGGAGGGAGAGGCGGCGGATCTTACGGAGGGAGAGGCGGTGGCGGGTACGATGGAGGCAACAGGGGTGGTGGCGGCCGATCGTATGGCGGCGGAGGCGGTGGGTACGGAGGAGGAGGCGGTGGGTACGGCGGTGGAGGTGGTGGGTACGGAGGCGGTGGATATGGCGGTGGGGGAGGCGGTGCCTGCTACAAGTGCGGCGAGTCTGGGCATATGGCAAGGGACTGTTCACAGGGCGGCGGCGGTGGAGGAGGGAGGTACGGCGGCGGCGGCGGCGGAGGTGGTTGCTACAGCTGCGGTGAAGAAGGGCATTTTGCTCGCGACTGCCCTACAGGCGGTCGTTGAAAGTCTCCGATGAAGATGGGTATTTCATACAGTTCAATTTACTTTCTGGTCGTTTAATTTTGTTATGTTATGGTTTCAGTAGATTTGGTTTAGTGTGAGTGAGTGCGGTGGTATGGTCATCTTCTTCATCAGTCAGTGTTGATCTCTGATTAGGATTTGGCTTAAGTTTTATTAATTGAAGTGTGTGTGTGTGTGTGTGTGTGTCTCCAATTTTGTCGATAAGGTGTATACATGTATATTCTACATGTTTGCTTTATGAATGAACAAGAACTGGAATGGTGATTTTATATTTTTGGGTCAGTTTTCTCTTCAATTATCTGCTCTGTGAATGAACATTTGTAATGTTTTTCTGTTGTTTTTTCATGTCCGTTTCACTCTTTTGTTATTAATTTGTGTTACTTTGATGTTGCTGTAAAATGTAATCTCTCAGGTCGGATAGGTTTGGAGTGATAGCATACATGATAGACATTGACCAGTAAACATTTTTATGTACCTGGTGGGTTAATCATTATCCACAAGATACAAGCACAATTTGTTTAACAGTTATAAATTTCGACGGAATGGTTATGTAACGAGTAACACCGACAGTATAGCATTTTCAAAAAATCTATTGTACTATTTTTTTTTTGAATAGAGCGGCAAAGCCGATACAAGCTAATTGAAGAAAAAAGGGAATAAAAATAAAAATAAAAAATAAAAAAGAAAGAACACTAGAAGAAAATAAAAAACCACAGAGAAGGCGCCAAGAAGAGCGGGTAAGGAAACAAAGCTGCGTCCTTAGCCAATAAAGTCAGTAAATCATCCGGGGGGAAATGCCCAAGTGGTGAAGAAAGCTTCATCCTTGGATCCTCTCCTTGCCAAGCAATCGGCAACGGAATTGCCCTCCCTCTAAAGGTGAAAAAATCGAACATTCTTGATCGAGCTAATCTTATCCTTGATGTTCATAATCAGCCCCCCCCCATAACATGAGTAGAAACTGCTGCCGTGTTAATCAACCTGAGAGCCTCTTGCGAGTCCGAGTAGCAGGTAAGATCTGTACACCCCCGAGCCACTGCTAAAGATAGCCCTTCGAAAATAGCAATTACCTCAGCCAAAGTATTATCTGCAATGCCAATGTTACCTGAAATACCCTCAATCCAAACTCCTTCATGAGTGCGCAACACAGCCCCAAATTCGGAAGGACCCGGATTACCCATGGATGAACCATCCGTATGCAAAATCATACCCGTACACTGACAGGGGTTCCAAGTTACTGTATTCGGCATAGTGTCATGACAAACCCCATCCTTAAGCATACCTGCCCGCAACCTTGTATCCTTCCACCATTGGAAAAAAGAAAGAATTTCCTTAACAACAGCAAAAGGAGACTTAGGAGAATTTCCGAACACCCTGTTATTACGTTCAAGCCATATAAACCAAAGAGTAAACCGCATACATACAGGCGCATTCACGATAAATTCCAGAAAATGGCCATCAAGGGGGATAGTGCGTGCAAGCCGATAGGGAAAACCATAACGAACTAACCTGGCCCAAACCTGCGTAGCCCACTGGCATTCGAAAAACAAGTGCACCCAGGTCTCCGTTCCATTTCCGCAAATCGTGCAAGACCCCGTTGTATCGAGATGCTGTCGGTGACGAAGATCCTTCGTAGGGAGCGAGCATTGCCCAAGAAGCCAACATAAAAAATTTATTTTTTCTGGAACATCATGCCTCCAAATCTTTTTCCACAACTTCGTCGTGTTATTACTCTGATTAAGCAACCACTCATAACAAGACGCCACTGAATATTTCCCTTTGCTACCAATAGACCAACACCACTTATCTGGAACAAATGGATGAAGATAAATATTACGGGCATCCTTCAGTGCCTCCGAAATATGAGCTGGGAAAATCGTGTGCAACGACTGGACATCAAACCTCCCGTTAAAAATCATCTGACGACATGATTTGTCATAATCTGCTATGTGAACGTAATCCACAAGACACTTCAAGGGTTTGCTTTGAAAAAAAATTTCGTCCCAAAAATTGGTCTCCCCATTACCTATCCGATACGTGAACCCAATCTCAATAATGGAAAAGCACCGCCTCATTGCTGTCCAGACAGAAGAAGACTGAACCTTAGAGTTTTTAATCCCCTCGTACCCTTTGCCAAAACGATCAGACAAAACCTCAACCCAGAGTGTCGAAGCGCCTTCAATATATTCGCTAACTTTTTTCCCAAGCATAGCTATATTCATTTGACGAGATTTACGTAAGCCAAGGCCTCCCGAGCGACGAGGCGTTGCCACAGTTTGCCAATTGACAAGATGAAGACCCCGACCATCACGGTCCTTCCAAATGAATCACTTCATGATGTTGTCAATTTTCCTGCAAATTTCCTCCGGAAACCACGATATTTGCATAAAGTAAACTGGTACCGTGGATAGGACCGAGCGCGCTAAAGTAGTTCGCGCCGCCTTGTTCAGAAATTTAGCGCCACGGGGTTAGACGCCCAGCGATACGCTCAAGAATAAATTCAAAATGGGAGACCTTGCGCCGACCCGCAATAATGGGGAAACCCAAGTATTTATCAAAAGCGTCTGTCGTTGGAATGGCGAGCTGATGACATATACAATTACGATTCGCATCAGAGGTCGACGCTGAGAAAACAATTTGGGACTTATTCAGGTTAATCGCAAGTCCCGCTTCATCCGCAAAAGCATTAAGAACTCTACTTATAGTTGTGGCAGTGGTAAAATTAGCTTGAGCCATAATGAGAACATCGTCAGCGAATAAAAGATGACTAATCGCCGGACCTCCCCGCGTCAACCTAATGGGAGCCCAATTCCCCGAACGGACCTCCCGATTGATGGTTCGAGTGAGGCGCTCCATAATGATAACGAACAAGTAAGGGGAAATCGGATCCCCTTGGCGAAGACCCCTGGAAGGGTATATTTCTGTAGAGGGTCGGCCATTCCAGAGAATTGCGAAATGAACGGAAGTCACACATTCCATGATAAGAGTGACTGATGGGGAATCCAATCCCATTTGAGCTAGCGAATCACGAATGTATTTCCACTTCACCCGGTCATAAGCCTTATCTAAATCAATTTTGATGACAAGCTCGGGGACCCGCTGTCTTTGCTTAAGTTTATGAAGCACTTCATGGAGAACAATAACATTGTTGGAAGTGCCTCTACCAGGAAGAAAAGCGGATTGCTCATGGCCTATGCATTGAACTAAAATAGGTCTCAGCCGATATAAAATAACCTTCGTCACAAATTTGTAAATGACATTACATAAACTAATAGGTCTGTAGTCCTTAATAGTAAGCGGCGTGGTAATCTTCAAAATCAAGCAAAGGTACGAAAAGCCGAGACTAGCCCTGAAATGACCATTAGCGAAAATAGTGCGAATAAATTCACACACATCCGACCCAATGTGCTGCCAAAATTTTTTGTAGAAAGCAGCTGGGAAACCATCCGGTCCCGGGGCTGAGTAAGAAGGACAGGAGTTGACCGCCCGTTTGATTTCCATGTTGGTTGCTGTTTGAGTGACCGACAAAGCTGTAACAGGAGCAGGAGGCGCAGGAGGCGCAAGAGGCTCAGTGTAACCGCAGCCAATAGGGATGTCAGGGCTATCCGTAAACCGACTCTCAAAATGCGCCATGACGTGCCTTCTGAGTGTTGTCTCATCTGAGGTCCAATAATTGTCAATTTGGAGCCCGTGAATGGTCGAATTATTTTTGTAGATTTTGGCGGCTGTTTGAAAGTATCTGGTGTTGCGATCCCCGTGCAGGAGAATTTTTTCCCGAGATTTTTGAAACCAAATGAGCTCTTCCTGATGAAGAATGGAGTTATACTCCTTAAGAAGTTGCCCCTCCAGGATTGTGAGTCTCGCCGAATCGACCCTAGTTTGGATGCGTTGAATCCCCAATAATCGTCGTTGAATTTTCCGCTTACGATCCCCAATGTTACCGAAGCAGGTTCGATTGAACGAACAAAAAGCATCTCCGACTGAGTTTAAGTTGAACAAGAAGTCACCGTTACCCAGGTTCCAATTGTCGGTAAGAACGTGAAGATAATCAGGGTGGTCTGCCCATGCCTCGTGCCAACGAAATGGCGATTGAGGAAGGCCCTGTGTGTTTGGTTTACGACAACAATGCAGTAGTAAAGGGTTATGATCGCTATTACCTCTATTTAAAGTTTCCACCATCCCGAAAGGAAAATTGGCAATCCACTCTGAATCCCCTGCTGCGTAGTCAAGGCACTTCTGGGAGTGAATATTGTCTCCTGTTGATGATCTCCGCCATGTAAAAGGGGGTCCCATGTTCTTCATAACCGTAAGATCACAATGTTGCAGGACGTCATTAAGGATATCAGCTCGTTGTTAAATGAACGCGCATCCCGTGGAGTGAGATGGACCAGTAACCTCATTCCAATCCCCTATGACGCACCATGGTCCTACACAGGTCATACGAGCAGCCTTCAGGTTATCCCAATCAATAAGTCGCTCTCGAAAAGATGGCGATGCATAAATCCCCGTAATAGTCCATTGGGAGCCACCCCGTTCGATGTTGATAGAAATCATTCTGGCAGAGGTATAAAGAACAGAAACCTGAAATGGGTGTCCACTTTTCTGGAGTAGCCAAATGCCGCCACTTCTACTTGCCGCTTTAGAAATAAACACCCGATCATAGCCACAATGATGTAGCCAGGCCTCATGTCTCCCGAATATGCATTGAGGTTCCACAACAAAACAAAAAGTTGGTCTATGCAGAATAAGAAGATCCTTCAACTGTCTCTGCGAGTATTTGTTGACAATGCCGCGGACATTCCAGGATAATACAACAATGTCTTTAAACACATACGTACCCCTGTCAACCATATTATTAACACCCACCGAAAGTGGGTGTGTGAATGAATTGACTGGCGTTGAACCCATAAAAATGATATTGGAAAAATTAATTCCGATCTACCTGAATGTCATCCGGAGGTCTGGAATGAGCCTCCAGCTCTTGCACTCCATTTATGGCTGTGGCTTCCATACCCATATCCTGATAAATGTCCTCCACCGTTGAATTTAGGTGCTCGAACTTGTTAACGTGTATAATTCCCCTGGAAGTTGAAGCAACTTCGTGAGGCTGCTTAGTAATGGTCCCCTTAGACACGCCTGAATGGCGTCTTTTTTTAGCAGAAGGGGGACTCGTTTCAACTTCAACTAATGGCAGCTGATGAGTTTGGGTATCCTTTCGAGAACCTCCAGATACCTCTTTCTTGGATTTTGAATTCTTAACTTGTTTCTGAGGATCAATCTTAGCCTTACTTTGCATCTTGTAAACAGCCGGATATGCAGAAGACATCTCCCCTTTTCCCACATTCTTGTTTGGTTTACCCCTTCTCCTCCTTTTTTCCACGAGCCAATCTCCATGTAGTGCTTCTGGGGGTTTCATTTCAGATTCATTACTACTAGCTTTGCCCTTATCAATCGATGTTTGCGGGGCAACAGACTCCGTTGGATTTACGAAGGAACATGTATTGCGATTATGGCCATATCGACCACACAAGGGGCATAGAAGGTATAGGCCCTCATATTCAACCTTATACCAAGTTCCCTGGAACCCTACCTGACCCACAACTGGCTGATTCAAATCAATTTGAACACAAACTCTCGCATACTTACCCCTTTCAATTGTGGAAGTGTTAAGGTCAATCCGAACTGGTGTTCCCACCATAGATGCCAGACAGAACATTATATTCTCATCAAACATAGCCAGGTTTAGCCCTGCAAACTGAATCCAGACCAAGGTATTTTCAATCAACTCATTGAACGGATTAAATTGAGGAGTCCATTTCTGAACTGTAACATAATGGCCCGAGAGCATCCATGGGCCTCCATTCATAGCTGTTTCCCGGTCTTCTTCTCTAGTGAATTTCACCATAAAAAAGCCATTTGCCAAATCAATAAGCTCGAAATGTCCGTGAGGTTTCCACAGCCGCTTAAGCCCCTCTCTCATGTAGAAAAAGGATACTCTTTTCCCTAGCAACCGAACCACAAGCCCATCTTCATACGGATGGCAAACTGAGGCATAATATTCTGGATCGAGCTCCAAGACCGGCTTCAAACGATCGTTGTCAATTAGATTTATCCTTGCAATGTTTTCTTTGAACAGATCTCGTTTCTTAGGTGGAGGAGGAAGTGGCTTCGAAAGAAGAGTAATATCCCTGAAAGAGGGTTTCGTACCTTTAAAGAGTAATGGAGTATCAGGAGGTTTGTCTGGCGGTCGAGTGGTGGCTGAATTCACCATCTCCGTGTCAATGCCAATCTCCGGCGTCTGCTGCATATTCTCCGTCGAGTTGAAAAATCTATTGTACTATTAAATCAATAGACTTGTATGCTAATTTTTATTACCACGCGTAATTGATGGAAAATTGAAAATATGACAAACATATATTTATTTAAATTCTTTTTTTAAGAGTGTGCGTATTACTAAAGTTGATACTAATTTATGTGGCTCACCAACACTTTTAAGACTATGTTTGGTAGGCAAAGAAACTAGCTTTAACTTATTTGGTTAGTTTATGAGCTCTCTGTATTCAATAATAATTCACGTGTGGTATGACGAGCTTTTTTTAAAAATGCTCGAGCTTATTTGATAAGTTTCGTCAGGTATTGTTTCAAATAAACTAGTTGAATTTTTTATTCCACCTAGCTTATTAAGTTAATCTTACCAAATAAAACTTTTTAGCTATGAATCATAACTATAAGCTAAAACAATATTGATAAATTATAAGCTAATTTATCAGCTATCAACTAGTTTGATAAACTAAAACAATATTGATAAATTATAAGCTAATTTATCAGCTATCAACTAGTTTTATCAAACATGGTAAGTTTACTTTCCCCAGAACATTTGAAATTGATTCTAATAAATAATATATCAAATGTTAGTTGAACAATTTGGACACTTGTTCTGAAATTGATTCTAATAAATAATATATCAAATGTTAGTTGAACAATTTGGACACTTGTTCTGGAAATTGATTCTAATCAATCACATATCAAAATAGAAGTTGATTAATTTGGAAACTATTTGAATCAACTTTTAATCATCCAATGTTTTTTTTTTTTCCCTCAAATTATACATTTTGGTAAATTCCCATTTGGGGTGTTGGCATGGGTTCCTACTTCCTAGGTACTAGGGTTGAGCTGAGTAAGAGGGGAATTAATTGTGAGAAGATCTGTGAGGTTTGTGGAGAGAGTGTGGGAGATCTCAATCATCTTCTGTTTCATTGTCAGAGAGTTATAAGTAGTGCTGGAAGCTCTTGTGAGTGTTTTGGGAGGGGATCAGGTAACCAGGGGCTGATTTTGGGGTGCGGTGGGTAGTTATTTGCAATGCTCCAAAAGCCACCAACATAGTAGATATGATCAGTTTATCTACCTACTTATTGTGGTGGCTTTGGAAAACTAGGAATAGTTAGATTTTAGAAAAAAAAATGGGTTAGAGAGGATAGATTAGTGAAGTGGGCTTTGGATGACTGGGATTTTTTTAATGCTTGTCAGAGGCTGGATAATCTAGGAGAAGGGAGAGGTTTAGCTGAGGGAAGGGCATGATTGAGGGAAGAGAGTAGGCACATTAATGGTAGAGCTTTCTGTGAAATGGGTACAGACTCAGAAGATAAGGTTCTCTTGGTTGTGAGCTGCTGGCTCAACAATGACAGATTGGGAATTGGAGGAATGACTCAGAAGCATAACAAGGTAGTGCAAATGTGGGATGCATCTAGGGATATCAGGAGAAACTCGGTGGAGGTCCACATGACAGGACTTTGTTGGTTGATGACCCTGGCTAAGCAGAAGAAATGGAGGAATATCACATGCTTTGTGGACACTGAAGAGGTGCGGAAATGGACTCAAGGACAGTTGGATGATCAAAAGCAGGGGCAGTGTGGCTTTGGATTTTCTGGCCTTGTCTAAATTTTTTTTGTCTTGTAATATTGTAGTTGATAGGAGATTATGTAGAGATTGCAATGACTTAGCCAAAATGGCTCTCAAAGGTGATTTGTAGAAATCATTCTATGGTAGTCCTAACTTGTGTGTTTGCTTGTTAGGGCTTCTATTGTGCCTATTTAAGCCTCGATTTATAAAACATTGATGGTTGCGTAATCTATCTTTGTTTGTTGTTGGAAAAAAAAAAAAAAAAGTAAATT